ACCTCTCCAAAGTCTATTTCCGCGAAAATGAAAGTAACGAATTCGTTACGTTGATTTAACGATATATATTTTCCTATCTCAAGAAGAATATTGGGGGAAATGTATGACAAAAAAATGTTTAATTTTGACGCGTTTCGTTCTTCAGGACGTCATCGGAGTAAAAAAAAAAAAAATACTCTAAAATCGCCAGCACCAAAACCACCCCACGCCCCGTTCGCACGCATGTGTAGTCGTAGCAACATAACATTCCGATGAACGCGTCACAAGAAAACGTTTTCCACTTTGTCATACACTTTCCCCAACACACACACACACACACACACACACACACACACACACATATATATATATATATATATATATGAAAATATAGAAAATAGGAAAGAACTGGTTAGGTAAATAATCCAAAGTTCCTTAGTATTTTAGTTATTATTTTTTAAAAATAGTGATCGATACAAAAGTAGAACATAAATATAATTATTTATTTAAAAATATGATTCCAACTCGCGACATAAGAGGTCTCATGTTTCAAAACAAGAGCCGAAAACTTCAATATAATTATTTGAATTAAATTGAATTAAAGTAAGCTCTATTAAAACACGTAAATTTCAGAAATAAGTTATTCCAAAAAAAGCTTACTTTAATTCAATTTAATTCAAATAATTTTGAAATCATATTTTTAAATTAATAATTATATATATATATATATATATATATATATATATATATATGAAGAAAAATATACTGAAAAAACAAACAAAAATCCTAATATGCGATTATGCTGTTTTAATGTTTAATGTCAACGTCGAACGTTTCGGTCTAATAGACCATCTTCAGGACATATTCATAAAACATAATTAACATAGACCATATGCAATTCAACATGAAAAAGACGATGGACACGTCCGACGTTGACATTAAACATTAAAACAGCATAATCGCATATTAGGATTTTTGTTTGTTTTTTCAGTATATTTTTCTTCATACTGTCGGATCTATATCCATATATTTGCTTACATATATATATATATATATATATATATATATATATATATATATATATATAAAAAAAGGCTTAAACACTAATGTTTCATGGTCATAATTTATTCCATTGGAATCGTAAATACGATCCAATTCATCAGACCTACAAATTCAAAATGAAAACAGAAAAAACCACTCCGGAAGTGAAAACATTACGATCCAATTCATCAGACCTACTTCCGGAGTGGTTTTTTCTGTTTTCATTTTGAATTTGTAGGTCTGATGAATTGGATCATATTTACGATTCCAATGGAATAAATTATGACCATGAAATATTAGTGTTTAAGCCTTTTTATTATATCCTTACTCTGTCCTAGACATTGAGTTCTACCAGGATTCTTCCTCTTGGAATTTTTTTCTGAAAATATACATGTATGGGCATTTATATATCTTGCATACGTATGTATATTTTCCACTAATATTATCTCTCTCTCTCTCTCTCTCTCTCTCTCTATATATATATATATATATATATATATATATATATATATAAATATAATAATAAAGAATAAAGACAAATTCAAAAATATAAGCAATGCCGAGAATAACTCAACAATTATAAACAGGTCAAAATGGCACCGAGAAGAATCTAGGATAGCGTAGCTCGAAGAAATGATTAATGGTGATATTCGTATCAAGAAGTAAGGATAACAGATGAAGCAAAAGGTTGTTTGAATCATGTATAATGGGCAGCAGACACAGTGGAACAGTCTAGACGGAAGATGGTTAGATGAGATAGAGGGTGTTGCTGCTAAAATATAACAAAGAATAGCGTAGTGATGGTTGTCCTTAAAGGATGTATGAATTTTAAATCACAATGGCTGCTGCTGATGTCTATGAGAAAAGAGAAATAGAATTAAAACTGTATGTTTATCGAATGATCTTCTTATAAACCTATATGATCTTGTCACAGCGTCTTTCCTCCTTTTTTTTTTATCTGCCTTCCCATTATTTCCATTCACTTACTTTTTCTCATTTATTTATTTATTTGTTTTCTGTTTCTTTATTTTCCTGTTTTTTCTTTTTTTTCGTGTCCAACATCTGGATAGGCAACATACTTTTAATTTTTTTTCATTTTCTGTTGTTTTTCAATCATTTTCGCGTATTTTATGTTTCTACTCTGTTTAATCAGTTCCCCCCCCCTCTCGGCCTTCGATCTGTTTCCTCTTTCATTGTTTATGTTACTTTTTTTTTTTTTTTTTTCTGTGGGGTGGGAGCTTTTTTGTTTAATGACAAATTTTCTGTCATCGTTTCTAGGTTAATTGTATGTCAAATTCCCGCCGTCACTTACTAAGAATAAAAATATATTATGAACCTTAATTTGTGTGTTCCTTTCAGTGTTTTGATGTGTACGAAATAAATGCATTCTCTTCCATTCAAAGATTGATATGTATACAATACCAACGGATTTATGTGTACACAAAAAGGTGTACAGAAAATATACTTATATCAATACACA